CAAAGCGATTCAATAACTCGTCTAAAATTGCATCCGCCGTCGCGCTTGTAGCAGTTACTGCAACGTGGTATCTGTCCAGCAGGTCAAGGAAAGAAACCGGCGCACTTGCTACTGCATGTTTCTTGCATGCATTCGGGCTGTCGAGCGGGGCGCCGCGTTTCTTCAATTCCAACAGCTGCCATGGACCAGACATCGTCGTCGCTGCGCGCGTGAATTCTAACCCTTTCGCATGGTCCACAGACTTGCTGGGCAGTTCTTCGCGATGTACTTTCCGGACCCCCTCCGGCAAAACATTGTCTTCGACAATGGCCTGGTTCGCATATGGCGGCGGTAGAGCGACAAACCAATTGCGGGTCCCGCTGTGCTCTGCGCTCTGCATCATGCCCGCGTGGCCGACAACCAAGAATCCTCCGCGCCGACTCCGTGGAATTTAGCTTCGCCCCCGCTCGCTGGAGGGGAGGGCACGATTTGTTCACACCCTTATCGCGTGAGCCTCCTGAGGCCCTTTTGGAGCCTCCATTTGCGTGCACGTTTGGTGCCCTCTTGGGGCCTCCGTTTGGGTGCACTATTGGGGTCATCCTTATCGCGTGGGCCTCGTGAGGCCCTCTTGGGACCCCCATTCGGGTGCACGTTTGGTGCCCTCGTGGGGCCTCCATGTGGGTGCACTCTTATGATCATCCTTATCGCGTGGGCCTCCTGAGGCCCTTTAGGGGCCCCCCATTTGGGTGCACGTTCGGTGCCCTCTTGGGTCCTCCATATTGGGTGCGCTCATGGGGTCATCCTTATCGCGTGGGCCTCCTGAGGCCCTCTCGGAGCCCCCATTTGGGTGCACGTTTGGCGCCCTCTTGGGGCCTCCATTTGGGCGCGCTCTTGGGGTCATCCTTATCGCGTGGGCCTCCTGAGGCCCTCTTGGGCCCCCCATTTGAGTGCACGTTTGGGCGCCCTCCTTTCATGCGAACGACTGACGCAGGCTTCGACGGAACAACCCGCCTGTTCATACGACCGACCTACCCTTTTCATACGAACGACTCACCCCTTTGGCACGAACGACCTGGGAATTCATACGGACAGCCCAGTTTAACCATCAGCGGGAAATCCACTGAACAAACAAAGATCTATGGAACGGCCGCTCTTCTCTGTTCTTCGTCTTCTCCGGGCGCCCCCCATTATTTTGCAGAGGGCTGGCAGAAGCCACAAAGCATCAGAGAACCCGCGGAGAGCGCGCGCTGGGAGAAACTCCGCGGGCGCACCTTACGCGGACTCAAAGACCACCCGAGGCTTCGAGAATACTACATAAAACGAGCCTTCAACAGAACCTGAACACGGGAGGTCGCGCCCATTTGCAGGAACACGGGAAAAGCTCCGCAAGGCTCCTGCAAACAGGGGGACCCCCGCGCCCAGGTCAGTGGAGGTGCGGGCCCACTCTTTGCAATACCGCCTCCTCCCCCGTCAAGAAGGGAGGGGGGGCGCCCGGCGACGGCGATGACGACGACGGCTCCCGCCAGCTGCCGCCGCGCCCGGCGGCGCGCGGACGCGGGCGGGCGCACGGTTCGGGCCGCGCGGGCGGGGAGGAGGAGGGAAGCGAGGGAGGGGGGCACAGACCTTCTCGCGTCGTGACAACAAAAAACGGCGGGCGGTTTTTGGCTATTGTCGGCCTCTGGGGCCCTCGCCGGGCCTCGGGAGCGTCGCAAAACGACTCGGAGTGAAAAAATGGTCCCGGGGAAGATATCCGGACCTCTGGGCGCCGACGCTGCGAAAAAAACACGACGATGTGGGAGGGGGACAAAGATGAGGGAGGAGGACGACGAGGAGGATGGGAGAGGAAGGAGAGGTCCTTCCCAGAGAGGACCTTCCCAGGGGGTAGCTTTTCCCCCTGAGTCCGTTTTTGATGTCCCCGGAGTTCGAACACGGCCCCCCGAAGGCCGAGAAGGGGGGTGCAAGAAGCCCCTCCTTCGCCTCATCCCCCTCTCTCCTCTCCTCCCCGAATTACACTCAAATCGAGCCCTGAGAGAAAATCTCGGAACCTTGAGGAGCCCGCGGATACGAAAACGAACGACGACGGATACCTCAAGTCGCGGAGAGGACGACGATCGGAGGAATAAAAACTTCGGAGAGGTCAAGCATTCGAAAAAGCGCAAGATGGAAAAACAAACGGTGGAATGTAAGCCACCGTACACACGGCCCGATGGTACGAACGACATCGGAATCCCCAATCCCACCCATTCCCTAACCCGCCGAGCCCTGGGGGGCTCGAGTCATGTGAGATCCTTCCACCCCTACACGCGAGCAGCAGCACCACACAGCACGAAACCCCGACTGGATCAAGGGCCCGTTTGCTCGCGCACCATCTTCACCCCAAAACAACCAGAGATAACTCAAGATAGCCCCATACAGAATACAAGCAACAACGCAAACCATCACAAAAAGTTGAAAACCCCGTGCTCGAGCACCAGGTGCGTTCCAAGATTGACCAGGATTGTCCCAAAACCCGTACCAGCGC